AAAGAATTAGGCAAGAAGCAGTGTGAGTGTGAGAAGATCTTTTATACCGATAATCAGAGTATCATACAGCTAGTGAAGAACTCGGTCTATCATTCAAAGACAAAACACATCAGAAGACGATACCATTTCACTCGCAGGATAGTGGAAGAAGGTGATATGTGTTTGAAGAAGATAGAGGGGGCAAAGAATCCAACAAACATGTTAATAAAATGTGTTGATGTTGGAAAATCGAGGTTGTGTAAAGCCTTAATTAGTCTAGTGCAGTGAAGATATTGATGGTCGTTTGAGAATGAAATTCTTGGTTCACGTGATTAGTCTCCAAGTGGGAGAATTGTTAGGTTATGAAATCCGGCTTATTTATAGCTTACTCAAAGGAAAAATATATACTTTAAATTACATATAAAGTAAATGGTCATATATAGTAAACAACTATGTATAGTAAAAAGCTATATATAGTAGATAAGATATATATAGTAGATGACTATATCGGGTTATATACAGTAAATTGAACCATATATATATATATCCCTTTAGACAATGCTTTAAAAACGTATTTTATGCATTCTTTGTATTCTTTTTTATTGAAGTCATTAATATAAATCTCTAGCCAATATTCTTCATTGTATTTTCTCTCTTCTGTTTTTTTTGTTCATCTAGATCGAGTGTGTGTTGTATGATCCTAACAATAATAATAAATCTTAGGAAATGTATGCTTTATGTTAAGGAGTATTTCTTTCGATTTATGTACAGTTCATGTTTTGTTAAAGTGGAAAACCGTATGTGTTGATGATTTGGGCGTTCCATTTTTGTTTTACTGCATACTGGAATATCATCAAAGTATACATCCATGAATTTATTAAGATAGGGTTGTAAAACGTGGGTCATAAGTCTCATAAAGATACTTGGCGAATTTGATAACCCGAACAGTGTGACAAACGCACATATGCCAACTTTCATCTTTTTATGGAGTAAGAAGTACTGGTACTGCACATGGACTTAAACTTGGTTGAATGTGTCCTTTATGGAGTTGTTCTTGTACTTGTTCTTGAAGGATAGCATACTCTTTAGCACTCATCCTATAGTGTGGCAAATTGGGTAGAGTGGCTCTTGGATAAAAGAAATACTGAACTAATGGTTTTGATCAATTTAATTTTCTTTTTTACTCGGAAAAGTTCAATTTAAATATTACAAAAATTCAAATCCCTTTTAGTCTGGATCTCAGGCCAGTGTCGTTTGATGATAATTTTTTTTTCTTTTTTAATTAGACTTGCTTTCTCACAATTTTATATTTCTGGAGTCATCTGAATTCTTAACCAAATTAAAAAATCAAAACAAGTTTTTTATCTACAATTTTTTTTAGCCTTTAAAATTTGACTTGAATTTTGAAAACATTTGTAAAACGTAAATAACAAAACAGAGAAACTCATTAGTGTTCATGAGCTTAATTTTCAAAAGCTTTTATTTATTTATTATTTTTTCCTTCTCTACAGCGACTGCAGGACCTTCCTTTTCTCTTACGGAGATTGCTTCGGGAACTCCTCAATCCACAGAGATCTCTTCCTCTTGTCATTAGAGCACGCGTTTACACTGCAGTTAAGTGAATGTCTCAACTTTCTTAACATTAACTATTGCTTAGAAATTATCATTTTCTAACTATTCTGTTTTTATTACCACAAAAATCTTGTTTGTGAGTTACTTTTGTATTCCCTGCTTTCATCTTGGCCCTTTCTGTTTCGTGGGCTTTTATTGTTATTATTATTCTTTCATGAAAAATTGCTTTCAATCAGTGTGAAAATCAAGAGACTATTCTGGTGAATTGAATGTCAAGCAGCTGTAATTGTTCCTGATTATAAATTGTAACTGCTGTAATTTGTTTACAGATGTTTCTAAGTGTAGTCTACACTGTGAGTCCCATCGATATCATACCCGAAGGTAAATCTCCCCCCCCCCATCGATAGTGACTCTAGCCTATATCAAATGTCAGCATTTTAGTGTAATCATTGATTTCCTTCTGGATTTGTTTTTCCTTTTGGCTTGAATGTTTATGTGCAGCATTACTAGGGTTATTTGGACTGATGGATGATGCCTTTATACTGCTCATCTGCTTCCTTTATGTTGCTGCTTTATACCGATCGGTACTCCATAATCGCCATGGAGGAACTTGAGTTGTCCTTGCAGCTTTGCCATAACTGTAAGAAAGTAGAGTAGCCATTTTTTTTGTTCTTTAATACACTTCGTTTCCATCCTGTTTTACTTGTAAAGCCAACTTTTATTTGAATCTTTCTTGCATATGGAATTCACTTGTGTTGTGTTCATTTTGTGTTTGGGAATATGAAGCTTAAGAACCACAAAAATTGAGTTTTCAATTAATATTATATATACATATGTTCGTATCCTTTCTAAAAATAATGAGTTTTGTCTGCTTTCTTTTTCTATCTTTTTGTATCTTGTGTGGAGTTCGTTATTTTTGAACCTTTTTATTTTGTTATATCATTGATTTTTTTTTTCTGGTTAAAAAAATATTTAGTTTTAGATTTTAGTACAAAATTGACTTCAAATATAATATAATTTAGTATATTATATAATCTTATTAATATTATTTTGTAACTCTATTAAGATTGACCTAGGAAACAGAAAAAAATGGTCCTTAAAAGCATGATCCATCTTGTCTGGAATCCAAATCCCAGTAAATAGTAGTTGGTCCTTGAATGCACGTTAGGGCGTGATGCTCAGTTCTGCTCCTAGATTTTGTACTCAGTACAATACGGATCCAAGGGATCTTTTAGGAGGCTCATAAAGAGCATAAGAGCTAGTTACCACGTTAAAGTTCTGGAACTTGAAAATGTAGATGATTTAGGTTATGCTAGATGTCTAACCTTGTTTTATAACCCGTGATCCATAGTTTCGACAAATTTCCTTAAGGAGACTGTTAAGGGCCTTACCACGTAACTCCTTATCATGAACTCGTTTCGAGGGGGTGAAGATCTAATGTTGACATCATATATGGGGTCACCCCCTATGTGTTCTATGACATTGTAGGGATTAGTAGTCAAGTCGGTAGCTTCGATTATTGAACCTATCACAATGATAATGCCTGCATTCTTTAATAGTAGATTTTTAAGAGCTTGATTAGTCGGGGTCTGTTCTGAATACAATTGTGCCACAAACACACCTCATATCGGAAGATTGATAGGATAATCTCCCTGAGAAGTGCTCTGAACACAATTGTGCCACAAACACACCTCATATGGGAAGATCAATAGGATTATCTCCCTAACAAAGCCTTCACAAGAGAACCGAGCTAAGACTAAAGCATTGGAGCTATAGTAGTTTCAAGTTGACCCAGGCCAATATGTTTTCAGTAAACCGAACCCCCTAAGGTTGTGAATGACAATTAGAGATTGAGACCCATGTGTACCTAGAGAATGGATTGGCTCGAGAAGTTAGTCTTAAACATCCTTGAAACGAGAGACAAGATACAAATTGCTTAGATGCCCCTAAGAATTTAGTAGACCTCCATGGCTTCAAAGGACCACCTAGGTAGCTTTCTAGGCTATAAGCAGTATGAACAGTGTCATTAGATTCTCCACTATTTTTTCCACTTCAATAGCAATACTGTTGAGTTACGCATAGGCCAGTTAGGATAGTGTGTGCCCTAACCTTGTGGAATTGGCTAAGGGTCTCCTAAATAAGGGCACTGTGTTATAATCTTGTCTCTAAGAGGGGGAGTGTGAGACTATGTAGGTTATCCTAGTAGTTGACCGACACACAGGGGATCACATCCTCCAAACTTTGATGACTATATGGCCCTGTAGGAGGGTCTGCTAACTAACATTACATGGATGATGTTTAAACTAGAAAATACTATATTATCTCATCATAATTTAATGAGGTAACGCCTCAACTTAGATCGCTAGTCATTCACTGCGTAAGCAAAGCGAGCTTAGAAAAGTTAAAAAAACACGTACCTTGGGGGTAAGCTTCAGATCAGAAATGTTCGAAACTTCGAGGCACCTCAAATGTTCAAATAGGAGTATAGACTAGACCCAAACTTCTTGGGGCCTAGAGAAAAACTTGTGGATACCTACTAGGATGAGAATGCAATGAGAGCTTATAAGTAGATTGGTTACGGAGTCTTTATTATATTAACTCATTTTCCTTTTTTTTTTCTCAGGTGTTTGCAGGTTGCTGACCGAGGTGGGGAGCGTTCAAGAGCTATGTGATTGCAGAGAGGGTCGTTTTGAAGCGTCGTCCATTTTTATATTTTGAGTCGTTTGTATTTCGTTTTGTAATTGTATTCCCAACCCATTTTTTTTATTAGTAATAAAATTGAACAACCTTTAATTTGAAAGTCTAAAAAATCGGGTCGAAATAAAGGCACAAGAATTATAATCTAATTTTCACTTAAGGGGAAGAATTGAACCGCTAACTTTGAATATTTATTTTAAGCTTGCCTTGCCTGGGATTGATTTCCTTTTGGCTTTGGGATAGGTTGTAAAGTCTCCTAATTAATTATTTATTTTGAATAATTATTTTGATTATTCTATTGTAATTTAATATAATCCATTTGAATCGGCTTGTTCATGATTATAGTGTACTAGTTCTTTGGATTGATTTATGCCAACGATTGATGCAGTAAATAGTAATTCAATAGTAAAGAAAACTACACCATACAATTTTGACGCCAAAGTTGAGTTAGGTTAAGACTGTATTGGACTATAGTTGTGATAGATGCACAATTACATCCTCATAATATTCCTTAAATGGTCGTTTACATGCCATGTTGTATGGGAGAGTGTCAACTATTTTCATTCAAAATGAAGGGGATCACATTTTAAGAATTTTTAAATTAAAAAAAAAAATAGCATTATTTTCAAACAAAATATAAAATATAAATATATATATATATTGGTTAATTTAACGAAGTATTTGTGAACGTTGTTAGTAGTTGTCAGGCCATTTCATCACGTTTGCAGTTTTATTTATTTATTTATTTTTGAAAAAGTGGAGTGCAGAAGTAGAGCTCCTGGGAGTCATCTGTCTAAGCTTCCATGGAACCCCACGCGGATGACGAGATTATTCCCATGGAGACGGCTGGGGAAGAAGAAGTTCCTCGTGAAGAACCTCCCAAAATCCTCCGACTCGACAACTCCGTCGTCAATCGTATCGCTGCCGGAGAGGTCATTCAAAGGCCAGTGTCCGCCATTAAAGAACTCGTCGAAAACAGCCTCGACGCCCAATCTACCTCCGTTAACGTCGTTGTCAAAGACGGTGGTCTCAAACTCATCCAAGTTTCTGACGACGGCCACGGCATCCGTGTCTGTTTCTTTTCTTAGTCGACTTGTCTATTTACTGATTGCTTATCGGAAAAAATAGCAAAAGGAATACGATTCTAACTGAAATTAGATAGTCATTCTTCGTAATCTACATTCATAGTAGTCTGCATATTAAGTTGGTTTAAGATGTTTCTAGTAAGTTTCTAGAAGAGAAAGCCGTGTTATCAGATGAAGGTTTTGTCAGGAACCTTGTGAAAGTGGCTATTATTTGAGGAAACTCAGCAACTTTGTTGTATTAACTTCCTGTTTTTTTTTCCCAATTTTTTTGCTCATTCCGTTTGCCCCCCTTTTCCCTTAGTATGAAGATTTGCCGATTTTGTGCGAGAGGCACACGACGTCCAAGCTGTCAAAATTTGAGGATTTACAGTCCATAAGGTCGATGGGATTCCGAGGAGAGGCGCTGGCGAGCATGACCTATGTAGGTCATGTTACGGTCACCACCATTACTAAAGGACAACTTCACGGTTACAGGTTAAATTAATACAAGCTATGGCTCTACATCTCACGTTCTTCGTATTGGGTTATACAGGGATTTGTAAATGTAGGGAAAATAATAAGAGTTATGTGGATTGTATGTAATTGTTTTCGTTCAGTGAGTGAATTTCTTTTGGTAACTTGCTGCATTTTCGGACTTAATGGGACAGAGTATCCTATAGAGATGGAGTGATGGAGCATGAGCCTAAGCCATGTGCTGCTGTAAAAGGAACTCAAATAACGGTACATGAACCAGTCTAGACTACTCCCATAGCAAAATAACATTATCTTGAGTTAACAGTGATTTATTTTTTTAACTAAATGAATTACGCCAACATGATGAGCACTCCTGTTATTATGTTTGGGATGATATTGATACATGCTTAGTTAGAGTTAGGAGATGAAGGTTTGTCTTTAATTCATTCAGAGACACTTTTGTTTATACACTTCAGAATTTTAAATTTCATCATCCTGCATTGTAATTGACAACTTGAGTTTTCTTGGATGTCTGATTCCAGGTTGAGAATCTGTTCTATAACATGAGTGCTAGGAGGAAGACACTACAAAATGTGTCTGATGATTACACAAAGATTGTGGATCTCCTAAGTCGATTTGCCATTCATCATATAAACATCAGCTTTTCTTGCAGAAAGGTTATTTCAATAATTAGTCAACCTCTTATGTTTTTACTTTGGTATTGTTTTCATGGTCAGATGTTTTGATGGTTTACATTGTACTTAGTGAGTTGAGATATGCTGGTTACTGTATTGTCAGCATGGAGCTGCTAGAGCAGACGTTCACTCAGTTGGGTCAACTTCAAGGTTGGATGCCATTCGTACAGTTTACGGTGCATCAGTTGCTCGCAATCTAATGAAAATAGAAGTTTCAGAAAATGACAAAGCCTGTTCAGATTTCAAAATGGATGGTCTAATCTCGAACTCGAATTATATTGCGAAGAAGATCACAATGGTGCTCTTTATTAATGGTATTTCCTATTTTTCTTTATCTTGTTAGCAATACATCTTGTATGTCCAAGTAGTATCTCTTCTAGGTTTGTTGAAAATGTTCTGTATGGGAAAGGATCAATTTGTGAGTTTTTATCTTTTCAAGTGTGTACTTCCTCAAGGAGGTTTTATTTTACTTTTTCTTTTTTCAGGTTTTTCTGTATTCTTGTTGTATCCGAGATTTTATTATTTTCCTAAAGGAGTTGCGGACTTTGTAAATTTTCAGAGTTTTGATGAAAAGTCTGTTCCTTTTCAAAATAATAATATCAAAATCTTCTCCTTCTATTGTCTCTTAATGAACAACCAAGGAAATTGCCCAATTTCTCTTTCTAATAATGATATGAGAATTTTCATAAACAATGACATCACAGTCTCCTGCTCTTGTCCTTGACATCAAAACCTCTGACATAAGATAAGAAGATATTAGCAACCAACTAACTTCTTGGTTTCTGATTTCACCTTATCTCAATTACTTTAGTGAAGTTTATTCTTTAGATCAAGCAGATTCAATTTGAGTATAACATCCACATTTTTCTTTTATTCTTTCTGTTCTTTGTACATCTATGAATACGAATAATTAAATTTTCTTTCCTGCTTCAGAATAGGTTATGGATAGTAGGAGTAGGGATCTTTGTTTTGGAGAATTATTCCACATGAATGCTTCTGTACCTTAGAATTAGTCAATGAGACGAGCATTCTTCATGTTCATATTGCCTAGGTCTCATAATAAGCCTATCTAAGTCCACACTGAGGAAGTGTTAAGAATGAACTAAAAAGATTACATTTACAATAACCTATAACAGCTTGTGTCTAATAGGGTAATTCAATGACATTTTTTTTGTTTTTGTTTTTTCTAATTTTATTTGAAGAGTCAGGATCATAGTTTAGCATAGATAATTGTTATTGCTTTTACTTTTTAATTTTTTTTTTTCTAATTTTTCTTATTGCAGAAAGAATGGTAGACTGTAGTGCTTTAAAAAGAGCTATTGAAATTGTTTATGCTGCAACCTTGCCCAAAGCATCCAAACCTTTCATATATATGTCAATTATATTGCCACCTGAGCATGTTGATGTGAATGTTCATCCAACCAAAAAAGAGGTGAATTTTTGTGCAGGATATCTTTTCTAATCTTTTCTTGTTGGCAGGTATTTCTGTTTGATGGATTTAAGGTAGCCATAGTTTCTGCCCACCAAACTGAATGAAAATGAAAATGTTAAGTGTAGATTATATATTTATGTATGTGCGTATGTTCATGTAGTTTATTAAGAGAAGTTGATTGATTAAATGAAATGGACAACAAAAGGGATCCCTTATTGAGAAATTACATTACAAAAAAGTCTTCCAACTAGTGACTGAAGTAGAAATAAGTTACGAAAGTGAACTATATCTTTTGCATTTAGTGACCAAAGAAGTGCAGGCATGAAACATGAATGACACGACATTGGACATGATGAACTCATTACTTTCTAAAATCCTAGAATTGACAAGAATATATTTATTCTAGTATACTTATTTTAAATGTATATTATGTTTTTACAAGAAGAAAATTTGAAGTTAATAAGCCTATGTATTTATCTTAGAAAACAAGTTTAATTTATTTCAGATTTTGTTACTTTTGCCCTATACTTCAATGTATGTTCATTTTTTAGAAAGTAAATAAATGAATAAAATTTTGAACACTTTAGTTCATGTGTCTTAATCATTGTTTGTATGTTCATGAGTGTCTGATGCATGTTAAATTTCTCATATTTAACAAGTCCCGTGCCTAAATATTGGATTCATATTCAATTTGCTAGTTACTAATATCTGACATTTCTATTGTATAGCCAGTACTATAATAGTATCCAATTAATGTCGAATACATGTCCAACAACTTTCTGTTTAACACGAGCAAAACATGAGCATGTTACACAAACTAATTAACTATGAGGCTTATAAAATGAGGCTTATAATTCTGATTTACTTCTGATACGGGTGCCCATTAAAAGTGAGATTGAGGAGGTCATGTTGTTTGGCAGCGAGGAGTTGGCAATTTCAAGGTGTTGGAAATAGTTTCAGGAATTCTAGGCATATGGGTAACTGTTGAAAAGTTGACATTGAGATTCTGAGCTTATTTTACAAATTAGATTTGGTATATTATGAGATGTGGCTGCTATCAAACTTCTTATGGGAGTTCCTTTTGTATGCTTAATTTTTGTTAATTTTTTTTTTTCTCTATAACTAAAGAATTAAAATATCTCGTTCATTGTGTGGTGTTATATTGTCTGCTGAAAGCTCTATCAATCTGCAGGTAAGCCTCCTGAACCAGGAAGTTATTATTGAGAGGATACAGTCAGCTGTGGAATCAAAATTGAGAAGTTCTAATGACACGAGGACATTTCAAGAACAGGTATATTTAAAAGCTTTGTCTGAAAATCTGAAAGTTGGATTGTAATTGGTAATAGGAAATAATATCAAATCTTTTAGGATGTGTTTCTTCAACTTTGGTCTTTGTTTGATAAGTATCTTCACAGTGATATTCTTAAGAGTTTATTTATGTGCAAACATATTTGAATCACTATAGTTAATTTATTGAATCTCAGTTATTGATTCATACTTCATCTGACCTGCATGTAATAGGATGTAGAATCTTCTGCGGCTAGTCAAATGGTTATTAGCAGTGACTATACTCAGAATTCCTCGCAGTCTGGTACAGAAGGTTTTTATTTTTTTTTGGTGCGACACCTTTTTATTTTTAGTTTTTAAGGTTGTACATGCTTTGGGTTTTTATCAGTCATTTCAGTGTCTGAGTGTTATAATGCATGTAGGTTCAAAGTCACAGAAGATTCCAGTGCAAAAAATGGTTAGGACAGATTCAACAGATCCAGCTGGAAGGTTGCACGCATATGTGCAAATGAAGCCTCCTGGCCTCCCTGAATCTAGCTTGAATACTGTGAGGTATGAATTGCTTTTGGATTTAAGCATGGAGCTTTCAATATCTAAGTGTTGCATCGAGACTGTATTTTATGCGACTTTTTGTAAGGCTGACTAACCAAGTTGATATTTAATTGTAATTCTGTTGATTATTTATTTATTGTTTACACTAGCTCAAAGCTCTATTCATTTCAGAAGAAAAGTAACCTACATTTTGTTCATTTCTCTTGTGAGTTCTTTTCGTCTCTCTTTCCGGGAAACATTACATCAATGAAATTGCTTCTTTTCTTTTGTGAGATTTCTATCCTTCATTTTATTTTGACAGTTCAACATTAATTTTTTAAGGTAGTAGGGGTAATTTTCTAATTTTTTGTGTTAAATTTGTGTTAGGATTGGGAATACCGTTAGTACGATTAGAAATATTGTCCCAGGGTACTAAGGGTATATTATTCATTTGCTAAGAGTTTCTAACTAGTAGTTGTCATAAATTGAGGGACTGAAATTAGGCGAAGGTAAGCAATTGGTTTAGGCTTGAGAGAGGTTCCAAGTTACTCAAATCCATGGGAATAGGTAATGGAAATTTTTTAGGTTTTATCATGCCCAGCTTGCTAGACGTTATGAAAAACTGTCTTCAAAAAGTGTTGTAGGATAATCTTCCAGGTAGTCCTTTAGAGGAATGGTTAAAGTGCATGATAGCCGCTGTTGGTAGTCTTGAACACAGTTCGGCTAACCAGATTAGTTCTTTATTGCTCTCAAAGCATGAAAAAAAAAAAAAAAAGATTTCTTTACTACTTTAGAAGATGGGACCCGTTCTTCAGTTACTCTTCACTTTTAAGGTGACTGACTCACATTCAGGAAGCTAATTCATAGGCTGCTTTAATTAGAGATGTTTAATTTAACCAATTCAGTCCATAATTGAGCAAGATTTTTTGTTAGATATATTGAAAGTCACAAATTAACAATTAAGAACAAAGTCCTAGGAGTATGAGTTTATTCCCCTACAGAAATTTAGGAGATGGCACCCACAAGAGCGCATTGCATATAGCTAACTTGATACTCTCTCTCTCTCTCTCTCCCTCTTTCTCATATATATATAGATATGGACATATATACACATATATATACATATGTTTTAGCTTGAATGAGGTAGATTCTGGAAAGGAGCCATGACAAGGGGTAGAGGTGAAGTAGGAGGGAGGAAGGAAAAGGTTGGTATGAGGAAGGAGATGGAGAGAAGAAGCCCCCAATCAGTGTTCTGTTTTCTCTCCATTTCTTTCCAAAGAAAAAATGACAATGACATGGATCTTAGTAGTTTTATCCATATTTATGTCATAAAATGTTCAGGTTCAAGTTCGTGCTCTTTAAGAAATTCAAAATGATGCAAGATTGGGTCTTGGTAGTTCTTATTATCTCCTCTTTATACATGTGCCAGTTGTAATTCAGATGCGCAATATTCTTTTTATATTACTTATTTTTATTTTTTATGTTGCTCATTGTGTGCAATGTGCACCCTACAATTTATTGTTATCGTAAATAGAATATTTTTTCTTGGACAGTACAATTAAATTAAAGCTTCAAGATTTTATATAATTCTGCAAGAAAATTGTGGAATCATACTTTTCCTAATTTGTATTGTTACTTTTTTTGTAAAGATTAACTACTTGGTCTAATACAAGAACTGTATTTTTAGGTCTTTTGTTAGAATGCGAAGGAATCCAAAGGAAGCTGCTAATCTTACTAGCGTTCAAGATCTTGTTGCAGAAATTGATCAGAATTGTCATGCTGGTAGCTTGCTCGTTAAATCTTTGAATTATCTGAAAGCTTCGGAGATTTCAATTGAACTAGTTTTAAGTGCTGTTGCCAACTGCAGGTCTCCTTAACACTGTAAGACATTGTGTATATATTGGAATGGCAGATGACGTCTTCGCTTTGCTTCAGCATGATACTCATCTTTATCTAGCAGATGTTGTGAGCTTGAGGTAAAAAAACCTTAGAAAGTAATAAGTTTAATTCGAATCTATTGTGTAACATTTTTATGAAGTTCCATAAACTTCGTTAACCATATGACACTTGTAGTTTTTCCTTAGAGGATCTCTTGCAAAGTTAATCCTTGAAAATGTTCAAGGTTGGGTCTATGGTCTGAATTAGTGGATGAGTTGGGGAAAGATGCTGGGAGGCCAAAAAGAATGGTCAAGATGTTGGGGCCTGTAATAAGTTGAAGAATCCTAATTTGGGACACAATGGATAATCTCTGAAGAACAATAGTCCATAAAACACGGATAAAATATAAAACTTGCCTGTATATCTCATTGGATGTCTGATTACTTTGATATGCTACTTTTGTGACATTATTTTGCTTTCCTGTTCTCTCCCCATTGTATTTTGTAGCAAAGAACTCATGTATCAGCAAGTGTTATGTCGATTTGCACATTTTAATGCAATACAATTGAGCAACCCGGCCCCTCTGTACGAGTTAATTAGTTTGGCACTGAGGGAGGAAGATGTGAATTCAGAGTCTAATGAGAATGATGATTTTAATAAGAAGGTAGCTGAGGTAATGAGGTGTCTTCTCTGATCTATCCTTTAAGGCATAAAGTACTGCTTGTTTTCAGTTTTAGCTTGCTCTATACAGCTAATCTTGCAGCTTCTTTTTAGACGAGTACAAAACTGCTCAAGTTGAAAGCTGAAATGCTCGAGGAATTTTTCTGCATACATATTGACATAAATGGAAATTTGGCTAGACTACCAGTCGTACTTGACCAATACACACCTGATATGGACCGTGTTCCTGAATTTGTACTTTCTTTGGCTAATGATGTAAGTTCTTATTTCCTTCTGAATTTTATCATCCTCATCATTATTATTTATGTTGTTCCATTTATTCATTTTTGCATAAATTCAAGAATTCTCCTTTCGGTCATAATTTCAAGTATTCATTTTTCAACAATGCTTGGCATTCCTTAAGTATTGGTTTAGGCATAAACTTTATTGAACACTTACTTCGAAGTCATACTCCATAATTTCCTAGCAATTTAATTATTGTGAAAAATCATCATGATGAAGTAGCTCTTGCTTCAAATTGAATTGGCTATGTAAGCACAATCCTCTTTACACAAGCTGACGACATTTTTGTCTCCTAGGAGCTATCCTCATCTGCCAGCAATATAGCTAATAATGATAGAATTTTATATTATAGGGTTTCCTATACATGTGGATTCCTTAATATGGAATTTCACTTTTCTGAGGTTGGATTTCTGTTTCCTATTTATGTGGACAAAAACTTATATTGGTCTCTAATATAAAGTGCACAAGTTAACTGTGATAGATTTGTTGAGGTCAAGAGGCAAATTAGAATCCATAGAAATCCATATCTGAGTCAAAATATAGTAGCCAGGAGCAAGTTCTATGTTGAGCTTTTCTGTCCATGATTTAGGATTAATCGAGGTGTATGTAAAACTTGCCAGTTGAGATTACTTTGCGGATGGAAATGGCTCAAATGATAGAAGATAAGCTGACCCATCAGGAAGGAAAGAAAGCTGTCTTAAATCTCAAGTCTGGAGGCCTAAGGCCAACACCGAATACTAGTCCCATGACTTATGGAGTAGGAGCAACAACCCGTACAATTTCGGTTTATCCAAGTCACTTGGGGGCTAGGTTTAATGAAATGGAATAGGGAAGACTAAGGAGGTACTATCATATTAAAGATTGTTAGAATCCGATCTCTAAACCCATCACAAGAAAGACCTCTCCTTTTATTGTGAAATGCGATTTACCCCGGGCATTGTTGCAAGAAAAATGGAATTGTAGGTGATGGTGATACATGATTTAGAGGTAGGGGTTAAAGAAAAAGTCGCAAAGGGGTATGACCGAAAATGAGGGAGAAGGGGATTCAAAAGAGGAAATAGTGGAGTTAACATTGAATTCCATGGTGGGGCTTGGAACACTGAAGTTATTGAAAGACAAAGTGGGTAGTGGTGTTGATTGGCTCCAGAGTGTCATAGTCACGCTTGTCCAAGGCATGTTGCCTATGGCCGTATGTCAGATGTCTCGGTTATACTTGTCCAGGACGTGTTGTCCATGACTGCATGCCCGTTCCAAACCCTTTTTACTTGCTTTCATATTATTCTTGTCATGGCAATACAGGGGTTATGAATGTTCACGAAAATCATGTCTCTGCCAGAGCTAAAATGTCTCAAAATGTTCGCCGGGTTAGAACAAGTGCTGTCGCTATCCACTGCCACAAGAGTGCGATTGTGACAAATGGTATCAAAGCTAAGTTGGCTCCTTGAATCATAGTAATCAAATATGTCCGCTGCAAAACAACTAGGAAAGTTCTGGTTGATCGATTGGTTGAGATTGAAGATCAGTTGCTCTACTTGAGTGAAGTTCCTGATGGAATGAGGTTGTGGAGTCTTGCATGAACGAGATTTGCTGCTAAAGCTGACAGGATCGACGAAATGGCTGGCTTCCTTGAGGCAATGTCTGTATGTGAATGAATGGTTAGGGTTGAGGCCCTAGAAGACAAGAACACAATTGCTGGTGGCTTTGAGTGTGGGGATAGCTCGATGGACTTTGTTGCTCCGAGGGAAGAACGTATCGAGGGCCTAGACAATGCCCAACAAGCGATCATTTAGGCCTTTGGAGTGCTCAGGGTTGAAGTGGTGGATTTGAGTGCCAAGTTAAATCTCACCATGGTGTGGCACTTGTTCTAACTGGGCTATAGTGAAGGGGATAAAATGATGCATCTCATCCACAAACTTCTCCACCATCATAAATGGAAGACTGAGAGGGAAGATTTATGTCACACGGGGTTTGAGACAAGGAGATCTACTATTCCCTTTTTCCTTTCATCATGGTAATGGACTGACTCAGTCGCCTATTGACAAAAGCAGAATGCGAGGGGCAGATAAAAGGTTTTCAGATTGGTAATGAAGGCTTGAGCATCAACCACCTTCAGTTCGCGGACGACACAATCCTCCTTTTTTTGACTTGACAGATGCCTCTTTCCACAAAAAACATGATCGAGACGGTATAATCCTTCTAAAGATTCTCTGGACAAAATATCAATCTCCAAAAAACAAAGATCATGGGCATAGAGATTATTGAAGAATTTGCTAGCATATATGGTTGTAAAAAGGGAGAATGACCAAATATGTACCTAGACTACCTCTAAAAGGAGACCACAAATCTTTTTCCTTTTTGGAAGATTATTATTGAAAAAATAGAAAAAAGGTTGTCAATATGGTCATCATGTTATACTTCAAAAGGTGGAAGACTCACCCTAATACAAGCCACATTATCCAGCCTCCCCACTTACTACCCGTCCTATTTGAAATGTCACAAAAAGTGGCTGCGGGTATAGAAAAATTATTCAGAAACTACTCGTGGAAAGATGACCCACACCTCATTCGATGGAATATTATAAGCCTCCCTACAGAGGAGACCTCAGTCTTCTCTCGATAAAGAAGAAGAACAAAGCTCTCCTTGCCAAGTGGATATGGAAATATCATCGGGAAGAAAAGGCTTTGTGGAAAAATCTTATAAAGGCTAAATATACTCTTCTATCAAACAAAAATCACCCCTCCATCTTCTACGAAAGGGACTTGGAAGTACATAAAGAAACATTAAAAACCTCATCACCAACCGAACTTGTCATAAGATGGGTGATGGAGAAACCACATCATTTTGGACCAATCCATGGATTGAAAACACCACGCTAACCCTGAGGTATCCACTTTTGTATCGGCTCTCTCATAGCAATAAAGCCATGATCAAAGAAATGTGGAATGTTGTTAACAAATGGGACCTGAAGCTTGGTAGGAATTTAAAGGATAATGAAGCAACGAAATGAGCTGAATTAAGCCTTGACCTTGCCCTTGTGGTATTGTCAAACAAGAGCGCTGGTGGGGTCTTTTTTACAAAATCCTTGATAAATAAATCCCACACTAGCAAAGACAATATGGAAAGGACATCAGCCTAAAAATGTGAAGTTCTTCCTTTGGGAAATAGCGCATGAAGCCATCAGTACAAGTGAAAATCTTCAAAAAAGAATGTCTTATTGGTGTCCATTATGCAAGAAAGAAAATGAACCACAAAGGCACTTGTTTATGCAATACACACATACACTTAGAATTTCTGGACAATGATTTTCCATATATTCAGATGACATCTCATATTTCCTAGGGATGTAAAAGATCTTTTGGATATGACCTTAACGTACCACCCTTTCAAGAATGCAAAAGCCCTACCATAGAAAAATCTCATCATGACTTTCTTTTTGGAATATGTGGAAAGAAAGAAATCAGAGAATATTTGTAGAAAAGACACAGACCTATACAAAACTTTTCGACAATGTTGTTTACCGAGATCTTGGTGTAAACTGTCTAATATTTTTACTTCCTATAGTTATACCTCCCTCATTGCAAATTGGGAAGGTCTTTTGTAAATTTCAATCATCAATGAAATGGTCTCTTATAGGAAAAAAAAAAAAAAAAAAAAGCAAAATTGTGGGGTGCACTTGTTCTAGTACCACAACTTTTACCTTTTCAAAATAAGGTTGGATAAAGTTTGGCTGGCATCATTCCTCAAGTGATATTATGATATCAACCGCTTACTGCAGCATGTTGAAAATCTCGCTCTCTTTAAACCCTAAATTGTGTAGATTACGCTGAATTATTCCAAATGCAATTCTCTTGCTCTCGCTCTCATTGGTGCATGCATCACTATTTCACAATTGCTTTCTTTTGAACACACACTCTCTCGTGTTGATCACTGTGAATTGTTGGGATGAGGAGGAGAACTGTTATAGAGGTGATCGTTTGAAAGGGATTTAAATATCAAGCATTGTGAGCTATGATGAACTAAAAGATCTCATATATGAGATTACAGAAGTTAATTCGTCTAATTTTGACATTTATTATGAGGAAGAAATATAAGTTGGAGTATGAATTCCCTCCACTCTACATCATGGACAATTGACAATGACGATGTTCAATTTCTCCTTGAACATCGAGATCTTTCAAAAGTCTAACTATTCATAGCAATTGAATTAAAGAAACACGATTAAGAAAATACAAAAATTAATTATGTTCTGGAAAACGTGAGGGCTGACTACGTGGGTTTTGAGGTGCGGAATACATAATCGTTCAACATGTATCTAGAGAAGGATGAAATCCCTTTGTATGAGAGTACTCAAATGAATAACATACAATTGGTTCTCTTTAGGGATTGACAACATCAATCCATGAGAATTGTATACTCCACCACATGATACTGAACATCACTGGGGTGAAAATGATGCATGGGACTCCAAGTTAAGAATTGTTGATTTGTTGGGCGTGGTTTGATATCACCTGTGCTACGTGGGAGGATGCTACTCAAATGGTGGTGCAATTTCATGAATTTCACCTTGAAGACAAGGTGGATCTTTGGAACTGGGTATGGTCGACCCCTAAACAAGGAAAGAAAGTGGGGAATAGAAAGTTGTTGCAAGTTAGTGATGGGCCCACAAAATTGTTGGGTGTTTGGGCAGTGAGCCAAGAGTTAGTTTGGGAGAGGACGAGGGCTGGAGGGGCATCTTCTTGCTTAGCTAATTTTTGAGAGTTTAGTGTTGGGAAAGAGGGAAAACTCTCTATATCTTCCCTTCACGTTGTACCCTTATCGATGTATAAACCTTATCGACTATTAAATTTCTTCTTCTTTTTGTTAAGATGTTAAATGATTTATAAAATGGAGAATTTAGTTAGATCTATCTAGGACATTTTGACATAAAACATTGTACCATGAATACATTAGCACCATATGCTAAAATAAATTTTTTGTTATAATTATCTTTGAAATGGATAAAGGTAATGCATATTTATAAAATATATGTTATAATACTCCATGTCAACAGACATTTTCACTTCTTTTGAATTCTAGAAACAAATAGTCTATTTCCTGGAATTCAAAGATCAGTCAACGATTCTTAATTCAACACATCTTTGAGGAATACATTATCTGCTTAACTTGTTTTTATAATTTGTAGATTGATTGGGAAGATGAGAAAAATTGTATCCAGTCGATTTCAGCTGCCATTGGGAACTTCTATGCCATGCATCCTCCCTTGCTGCCAAATCCATCGGGTGATGGCTTGCAGTTCTACAAAAGGATAAAATCATCCGGTAATCCTGAAGATGAAAATATAGGTAACTGTTTGACAATATTGATTTCTTGAATTTTTGGTTACCAATGTCCTGATCTTTTAGTGGCTGATGTCTTTCGTAACATATCATTGTTTATGCTAATCTTTGCTGTATTTTACATTCTGAGAAACAATGGGTTCTCTTAATCCTCCTATCAAACCATCTGCTTACAATTACAACCAATGACCTAGCCTTCCTAATCATGTTTATTTGTATGTATGGCTACAAAATGTTCAATGTTCCTGGCTACTAAAGAAAACCTCCTCCTACACATGTTTCAACTCGAATGCACTTGAACCCCTCCCCACACGAGCTTAGAATGTCTATGTGCATTGGGGCTGGTTTGTAATTGAAAATCCAATAGGCCATCAAGTAATTTTATCATATCTAATGTTATTTCCTTGAGAATGAGAAACTCTAATACCATGTTAAGGATGAGAAATAGAGGTGGGATTGAAAGCCCGATATTCATTAATGTTCATACGTTTAAATAGGATACAAACTATTAACTAAATCTTAGAAATAAGAGAAAATATTCTATGGAAATAAGATAAAATATTTTAAATATACTATTAACCAAATCCTGAGAATAAGGAAAAATCATAAGGATTACAACTATATAAATTATATTCCAATATAAACCTTCGATGATGTCTTGAGGTGGTACATTTACAGGTGATGATACGATGACAATGGAGAATGAAATCGACCACGGTCTACTATCGGAGGCAGAAACCATATGGGCTCAACGTGAATGGTCAATACAGCATGTACTCATCCCATCAATGAAACTTTTCTTCAAGCCTCCACATTCTCTCGCTGAAAATGGATCTTTCATTCGGGTAACGTCAACAGCACATCTAATAATTCCTGCAGATATATTGAATAGATGCGAGGATTTAATTGACCATCCTTACCTGCCAATTTGCTTCATTTGTAGACCATAATCTCCATTTAATGTGTGCTTTTTCCTTGGGTGATCTGTATGTATTTATTTTGTGTGATATCATTGACTTTCACAGGTTGCATCATTAGAGAAACTTTACAAGATCTTTGAGAGATGTTGAGGCAACATTGTCATTCATCTGAGGCCGCTTCTTGAAACAGGGTTGGCTTATTTCATTTTGTACCTGCGACCTGTTTTCTTTTTTTTCTTTTCTTTTTCCTTTTTTTTTCCAGTAATTTGTATAATTTTGCATGTCTACTAACAGCTTTTGATGTTCATGTAAATTCTGAAGTACCTATAAATCATCATTTTTGGGTGAGTTTATTGTGCCCAAAATTTAAAAATGTTGATTTCTTTTTCGCAAAAGGTTTAATTTTTTCATTTGGAAACTTATAAAATTTGTTAATTCTCTCCCTTTTGGATGATTTTGGACATTATTTTGAATGAGGCCGTTAGATACTAAAACAAGGTACTTTTACAATTTTTTTCCATGAATAAACAATGAAAAATTGCTAGCTTTTATAGTGCTTTTCAATTCAAATTATTTCTCTTAATTTTGAGATATGGATTGAATTAGTTTATTATCACATCATACGGCTAAAAGTGGACTCATAATTTTGATGAAGGGTTTCGAAAAAGAATGTTGAATACATTAATTTCATTTGAACAAATTGGTCTACATTGATGATTTAGTAAAAGATCTGGACAGGGTCGTAGGTGCCGAACAAGCCTCTCCAAACAATTTACAATATCCGAAAGGTCTAGGTACATGGATCGACAAGTTTGGGTTGGTTAGATTGGTAATTCAATCCAATCCATGCAACATTTTTTCAATGATCAATTGTGGGTGGTTTTGTTTTGTTTCCATGATTCTTTTAAAAAGCAAAATGATAATGGTAGTAAAATTATCTCATTCATTTTCAAATTCCAAGGCATCATCAATCATCAAAACAAACAAGTTTAACACAATCTTTAAAATTTGTCAATCACTACAGAGATGATCTATCATATTTCACTACATTCTGAACATTAGACATGGATTTATGCATTTCTTTAAATTCCTCATTCACAATCAAGTTAATTATGTGGGGTACAATGTAATAGAAGTGAATTCAACTTTTTAAGCCTTTTCATAATATACAAAATAACTACATCATTGAAACTTTATTACCAGATGTGATAGAGAAAATCTTGTGAATTCTCATCCCAATAAAGAACTCTCAATAATATTGCCAATATTCTCTCTTTTATGGTTAGCAACTTAACAAAAGTTTGAGAATTATTTTATGCTAACTTCCATTGGAAATCAATAAAAGACTACCATGTTGTTAATATTTTGCAATGAAGTCTTAAGTATTAGTGGTAAGACAAACCCTATTGTATCTACTCAGACGGGAGGCCTGTTGTGGCAAAACTACTTGTGCATTCCCTGAGACGAGAGAATCTTAAAAGATATTATGACCAAAGCCCATGATACATCTTATACGTTCCACCCTGGAAGTACAAAGATGTATCAAGATCTGAAAAGATACTATTGGTGGCCCGGAATAAAGAGGGACAACGGATTTCGTAAGCCATTGCTTGACGTGCCAGCAGGTGAACGCCCCGAGGCAGTGCCCAGCAAGACTGCTACAACCCCTGAATGTTCCTCAGTGGAAATGAAAGAAGTCTGTATGGACTTCCTCTCAGGTTTGCCAAAGACAAAACAGAGTTTCAACGTCATCTGGGTAGTTGTAGACAGACTGATCAAGGCGGCCCACTTCATTCTAGGAAAGTCCACATATCGAGTGGATCGATGGACTCAGTTATATATCAAGGAGATAGTACGTCTACATGAGGTATCAGTGTCCATAGTATCAGACAAGGACACTAGGTTCACCTCTCAGTTTTGGAAAAGTCTCTAGAAAGCACTAGGAACTCAGTTGTGGTTTAGTACAACGTTCCATCCTCAAACGGATGGACATACCGAAAGGATGAATCAGATCTTAGAGGATATGTTGCGAGCCTGCTCCTTAGATTTCTCTGGTGCTGGGACGAACATCTGCCTTTGATGGAGTTTTTCTACAATAACAATTATCAAGCGACTATCCAGATGGCCCCCTTTCAGGCACTGTTTGGGCATAGGTGTCGAACACCAGTGTTTTGGGAAGAGGTAGGCACGCAGCAACTACTGGGACCAGAGTTGGTTTAGGTCACCAATGCAGCAGTGTAGAAAATCAAGCAGAGGATACTCACCGCACCGAGCCAACAGAAAAGCAATGCAAATTTGTGTAGAAGGGACCTTGAGTTTGAGGTAGGTGACCACATGTTCCTGAAGGTAGCCCCTATGAGGAGGGTGTTGAGGTTCGAAAAGAAGGAAAAATTAAGCACAAGGTTCATAGGCCCCTCCGAGATTCTAGAGAGAGTTGGGGTTGTGGCTTACAGAATTGCCCAGCCACCGAACCTTGCCGTCGAACAGAATATATTCCACGTGTCCATGTTTTGAAAGTACACTCTAGACCCTACCCATGTGATCAAGCATGAGACGCTTCCTCTTCGGGAAGATCTGTCTTACGAGGAGAAGCCTAGCAGAATTTTGGCTCGAGACACTAGGCAATTGCGCAACAAAGTTATTCCCTTGGTGAAGGTCTCATCATGGGGTAACCACCGTGAGGAAGAGACAACTTGGGAACAAGAAGAGGACGCGAGGAGAGATTATCCCGAGCTCTTCCAAGAGATATTCACTTGTGGGGACGAAAGTTCTTAAGGAGGAGAGAGTTTGTAACGCGAAAAAATAAAAAATAAAAAAGTTTGCTAACTCAACCGAGGGGCAAAATGATTTTTGCCCCTCTAGCCATAATAGGGGTTCAAGGAAAACTCCATCAAACCTCTTGCAAAAGGAAAAAGAAATTAGAGAGAAAATTAAGAGGAAATAGAAAAGAGTTGCCGCGAAGTTTCGTCGGACCACTGCTGGAATCCACCTTCAGATGGACTTGTACAAGGTCGACGCTCCGTCAAGATCCAAGAACATTTCGTGAGGTAAGGTTTTGAATGATATTTTGCATTTTTGAGCTTTTCCGATGTGAATCGAGTCATAAAATATTCATATATTCATCTAGGAACAACTCTACATACGATCTGTGAAGAAGTGTGGCCGAAATCTCAATCTGAGAATGGTAAGCAAATTTCTGACGCTCTTAACTCGTCTGGTAGTAAAGCAAAAATTACGAAAAAATACCAAGACGTAGCCTGTAACGCGATCTAGAGACTTGCCTAAGAAATCATATCGATCCGAACTCCGAATCAAAAGATATGAAAATAAGAAAAATAACTGTGTTACGGATTGCAGGGGAGTGAGAAGAAGAGGAAAAAAAAATCGGCAGCCACGTGTTGGTCGCTGAGCGGTGGAGGCCAACTCGACAGGCGCCAGACACACATCGATCGTCGGTTGGAGCAACGCAACTCAAGTGAAACGACGACACGTGTCGTCTGTAAACCCCGAGTTGAACCAGGCCTCCCGACCCGCGACTGCGTAGAAGCAGCTGCGTGTGTGGCCTGCGACTGACGCACTTCCTCGAGCGTGATCGGTGCACAGTTGCGTGTGATATGCCCGTTTTGGCCCGTTCGCCCTTTGTTTCTGATTTTTGTCCCGACTCCAGTTCTAATACTATTTTTATGTAATTAGGGACCTAATTGAAGGAAAACAGTATTTTTGGACACCTCACGGGCATAGAAACGCTAACGAAAGGGCATGCGTCAACTAGGTAAGTCACCACCCGGCATTTAGGAGGAAATACTTGTAAGATTCACTTGGACTGCATGCATGCTAGTTATTCGCCTTAGGTAGTAGCCTCCTATGACTGATTGTTATGAGCTGATGATGTGTAATAATATGCGATGTTTTGGGTGAATTATCTGAGCGTGCGATCATGCTTTAAATTTCCGCGGTACGTATGCATGTGTTTAATTCATATTGGAATTGTGTATTCCGTGTCTCGGGTGCTTGATGGATGACTTCGCCCCATTGAGCGCGAACTTCGCGTTCTGGGTGCTTGATGGAGGTCATCGCCCCGTTGAGCCTACGTGCCTAATTTGCATGAATTATATATTATGATGTTAGACGACAGTTGCATGCACACTCTGTTATTTTCTATGACCCATTTTGCTATGATAATGGGTAGAGCGACAAGTCACTCTAGCTAGACCTAACCTTCCCCTAGGAACTTAGCGAATTACCACATCGACGAGGTACCTCAGGAGTGTTCATAGATTGCTAGTGTATGAACGATATCTATAGCTTCGTGGGAGGACTAGGGGTTCCTAACCAGTTCTTACTACTCCTAGCCATTTCGCAGGGGAAATGTGTCCCCACGTCGTATAGCTCATTAGCTGCATGGGAACGGGTTGGGTCGCTCTCCCCCATAGGGGGACTATATGGGTTTAGAAGATACTCAACACACTCCTAGGCTAGAGGCTAGATACCATGTAGTCTTAGATAGCCATGTAGAGGTAGCGCCTCATGTAGAGGTAGCGCCTCATAGAGAGATACGAGTCATATCAGCTCGGCGTAAGGAACCTTTAGGTATCAAATGAAAGGACGATGAACTGGTAAAGCCCAAGGGACTAAGATTAGAACCAGATGTCCTAGAACCAAATTAGGAGACCGTGGGAACCTGTTAAGCTAGGATGCAATGAGAGCCTACAAGTAGGTGGCGTACTGAGTATAATTTTTATACTCATACTTCCTATGCTTTCCTTTTCAGGAGCGCGAGGCATCGGTCAAAGGAGGGCGTGATGGAGACAGGGATTGTCACAGAGGAATGGGTTGTCCCGAGGCGTCAGTCTAGTCTTTATTTTGTATTTGCATTCTTTCGTAATTTGTTTCCAAACTGTTTATTGTTTTTGTTTGTCATTCGAAATTTTATTAGAAGTAAATGATTTTTCTCTGTTGCATACTTAAATTATTTTGTGCATTCATGTGCCGTTGTTAGTCAAGGTCCGTAGTAAAATATTGAGTCGTGACAAATAGGGTTGTACCCTAATCGTCCCTATAAGGTACATGGTCAACCTAAAGGAGACATTGAGACCTGTAACTAGGTTATAGTACCTTAGTAACGTAAAACAATAGTTCATAATCTATAACCAACATATTGACACTCTAGGACACCTATCAAAGGCCTAAAGCATAACTGGTTATAAATGGGTTTCTAATCCTTCCAGCATGTATGTAAGGATTCTCATATGGTTTCTACTCCCTCCGGCTATCATGATATTAGGTCAATTAAGTTCTTAGATACTAATTGATTCTTGCAAGTACTGTTTGTTCCATATGACTAATTACTTATTTCAATGTGTTCGAGTGTCG